AAGCGGAGCGCGGCGGCGCCCACCTGGCCCCAACCCCAAGGTGAGCCGCTCCTCCTCCTCCGCTGCCCTCCTCGTCTCGCCGCATTGCTCATCGCATCATTCCCCGCTCTGCTCGGTTAGGGTCTCCCTCCCTCTCGCATCATTCCCCGCTCTGCTCGCGCTCGTGCGTCATATCATATCTGGGCCTGCGCTGAGTCTGCTGCACAGTTTGCCGATTCGTCTGTGTGATCGTCTCATCCCAGCGATTTACTCCGTGTGGCCGTGCGGTGCCCTGCCCTGCCACTGCTTCTGTTTGCGACGCCAACAGGGGGCCGCATGCGATTCACTGCGCCGTCTGCCCTCTAATTTGGTTGGTGTGTTTAGTGAGGTTTTCGACTCCGCGGCTTTGCCTTCTGTCTGAAGACAGCGGGTGTCCTCAACACTGATGGCACATCATGTCATGTGCATGATTGGTTCATGGGGATTCTGATGGTTCACAGCGCTTGTTCACCTTCTCCATCAAGGGTTCTGTACCCCTTATATATTCTGTAAAAGTGTCAACCACACCACGGTGTGATTCTCTTTGACATGTCCATTGACGACTGCCACACTGTACATTTCTGAGCTTTGCCCAGCTTACCTGTCTTGTTGTAAAAGGATCAATAATGCCATGGTGGTGCAGTTTTTTTTTTATTGGGTCAAATTGATTGGTATTTTGCTTTCTCGGCTCATTCTGAATTTTTCATCCAGACCAGACAACCCGGTGTTTGATGTAAAATTTTGCTGTGAATCTTTACTTACATTGTGAAAAATAAGTCGCTTGTAGTTTTCTCGTAGTTCTTTGCAAATTGAACTGAATCTTGTTGCATTTAGCAGATGGGGGACGTTGCGAAGGACTTGACGGCTGGGACTGCGGGAGGGGTTGCCAACCTCGTCGTCGGGCACCCGTTCGACACCATCAAGGTCAAGCTCCAGAGCCAGCCTACCCCTGCTCCTGGACAGCTCCCCAAGTACGCTGGCGCCATCGATGCTGTGAAACAGACGGTCGCGGCTGAAGGCCCAAGGGGCTTGTACAAGGGGATGGGGGCGCCTTTGGCCACTGTTGCGGCCTTCAATGCTGTCTTGTTCAGTGTGAGGGGGCAGATGGAGGCCCTTCTGAGGTCAGAGCCTGGTGTGCCACTGACTGTGAAGCAGCAGGTTGTTGCCGGCGCTGGTGCTGGAATCGCAGTTTCCTTCTTGGCGTGTCCAACAGAACTGATCAAGTGCAGGTCAGTGGAGTCAGGTCAATTTTTCATCATTACATTTTTCACTTGAATGTTGGATGTTCAGTGGGTGGAATTTTACATGCTAACATGGAATCCATGTGGTAAAGATGGTTGCTCTTCAATGAAATGCGCTTTCCTGCAGATGTTAGTCATCATGCACATCAGATACTGAATTATCTCACTTGCATCATATGATATTGGATTTATGCTATGATATCCTACATTTAAGCAATCCTATAAAGAATTTCCTGTGCGGCTTAAGATTGAACAACTGAAAATTTCCTTGTGTTTCTGTGAACATGAAATTCCTGCAGTGCTTATCTATTCAGCTCAGAAATGAAGTTCCTGCAAAATAAATTCATGTACAATACATGATGATATTTGTCCTATGTAAAATGCACTTTCCTTCATATGTTACACATTTTTTTAGAATCCATATGTTACGCAATGTGCGTGTATGGTACTAAATTGCTGTGCCTTTCAGTGTTTCTCAATTTAGCCCACTTGCATCATATTATGGTTATTTGCATTAACAATTCAGGATAAACACCTGCTGTCAGTAATGCTCTAATCCAAATGCCATAAGATTGAACCATGGGGAAAAAAAATTATATGTCTAGTGTCAACACAAACTAAAATGATTTCTGCTCTTTTTTTTAGTTTGCACATAAAACTCCCGCTAGTCATACTCATGTAAAATGCATGGTGATGCAAATTATATTCATAGGGTTGTGCTGTCATCTATTGTGTGTTTTTCTCTCCTGAAACATTTTCAAAAAATGCGGTGATAGAAATAGTCATGTGGAATTGGTTATGATCCAAATCACATGAATGGGTTGTGCTATGACCTGTTTTGCATCTTACGTTCTTTGAGAAATCTTTTGAAAAAGGACAGTGTTTTCTTGGTCCATCCTACTTGTTATCATGTTAGGGATTTTTCTCATTTCTACTCTTTATTTTAGTGTCTAATTGGAATCAATGTGGTAAAGTCCTGTTATTTGTTCTTTATGGAATTTGCATTCCTGGTTCCTGCAGATGCTAGAAATCATACATGTAAGATACTATTTGCCATGCATTCAATGTGCTTTCGCAGTTCATGTCACTTGCAACAATATCGTGGCTAAGTGCACTAGATCAATGCTAGTATCTTTCATGTAGTCTGTTAGTTAATTTCGCATTAATTTAGTTGTTTATGACTTGTAAATTGGGCTGTTTGAAAAGGTATTTTTTACCAAATGCCATAAAATTGGGCTGCTGAAAAGGTATTTTGTGTCAATGAAAACAGTTTTTTCTGTTTGCAAAGGATTTCCTACAAGTCATACTCATGTACAACAGCCTTGCAGCCATCTGTTGTGCATTCCACTAAGCTACTTTCCCCCGCTCTACTGCTTCTAATATATCCCCTCCCTCCTTGCAGGTTGCAAGCCCAGAGTTCCTTAGCCGAGGCAGCTGCCGCTTCCGGTGTGGCTCTTCCCAAAGGGCCGATCGATGTGGCAAAGCATGTCGTCCGGGACGCCGGCGCCAAAGGTCTCTTCAAGGGCCTGGTCCCGACCATGGGGCGGGAGGTCCCTGGCAATGCAGTAATGTTCGGCGTGTACGAAGCCACGAAGCAGTACCTGGCGGGCGGCCCGGACACGTTGAACCTCGGCAGGGGCTCCCAGATCCTAGCGGGTGGCCTCGCCGGTGCCGCCTTCTGGCTGTCCGTGTACCCGACGGACATGTTGAAGAGCGTGATCCAGGTGGACGATTACAAGAAGCCCAGGTACTCTGGGTCCCTCGACGCGCTGAGGAAGATCGTGGCGGCCGATGGGGTGAAGGGCCTGTACAAGGGGTTCGGACCCGCCTTGGCGCGCAGTGTTCCGGCCAGTGCCGCCACGTTCGTGGCCTACGAGATCACGAGATCGGCGCTAGGTTGATTGGTGCTGCTGGCCTTTGCCATGGCGCTTCGCCGTTTATTCATTCTCCTTGCGCCGCTGGAGCAACGCGAACAATGCCAGACATTTTTTAGGGAGGAAAAAGAGAAAGAGAGAAAACTTTCACTTCAGTGATGAGATGCTTTAATGAAGCAAAGCTTAATTGAAAGTCTGTTCATGTGGAGTGAGTGGTTGGTGATAGATAAATAATACTGTACTGGCCTTGTCGTAATGGTTGGCCTGGAGCGGATTGGGCATCCGACGGTGATCCGATGGCGTGGGAGTGGTGGTGCTTGTGATGGCGAGATAGTGGTGGCATGTGGCCCGTGGTTTTGTTGGGTTGTGGCGTCTGGTGGTGGTTGTTCACCCTCGTCATCTCGCGTTCGGCACTCTTTTACCCCCACAATCCCACATTGGCCTTGCCTCCTTTTCTTGGCCTGAATTTTGTTCCCTCTTTTTTTTCATATATATTAATATAATAGTATACCGTTTCCCTTTTGCTACTGGCACATGGTTGTTCCCTAAAGCTTCTCAGGATCTCAGCAGCGGCAGCACCACTCCAGCAGCAGTAGTCAAGTTGCCGCTCCGGTTGCGGAGAAGCCACCGTAGTCATACTTGGTGGAGCTGGAGTGGAGTCGTCTCGTTGGGTGAGGAGGACGAGGCAGGCAGCCATCCCTCGGCTCCGCCTCCATTGCCGACCTCCGTGGCTGCCGCCGCTGCCGCTCCTGTCATTGCACAAGTATGGATTTGGTCCCTTGCAGATTACCTTGTTCGTTGCCACACCAGTGTTTGTTTCCGTTGTGCATGGCATTGCTGGCTCGCCCTCATGCCGATTCGGCTGGCGGACCTGATTGAACTAGTATGGTAGTCCAGATTTGTCCGATGGTAGCATAATCAGCCTGTGTGATTTTTCTTTATTTCATTCATACTGGAGTATCTCGGAAAGCAATCTGTCCTCTTTCACCTCAGGCCTCCTAGAACCTGATGCGCCTAATCTATGAGACACTGCTCGTCGCCGAAAGGGTTCGCCAGGTAGCGGGGCATATTGTGCAATGCTTGAACATCTACGTGTTCCCTTTTTTTGTCTTCTTCTCTTGTTATAGAAAAAAAAACTTGTCTCTCCACCCTCGTAAAACTTGTCTGCTGCGAAGCCGTAGGTTCGTACCTTCATAAGCTAGTCAGTGATGCAACAAGAAGCACCAGAGACTGTATGCACTGGATGATGCAAAAGGGCAAAAAGAGTTTCATTTACCTAAAAATTCATATGAATTCTCACTAGGTGACTGTTCATTTTCTAAAAAAAAACGAGGTGACTGCAAACGGCGAAGTATTTCTGCTCTGATGTCTGATCTCTCTGCATTCCCGTCCGTATAAAGTTCAGCATCTGTTAGTACTAGGTTCAGGCAAAAGGAGACAGAGGAACAGATAGCGTCTCTCCTGATCACAAAATGTTTATGTGCTTCTAGAAGCAGCTGTGAGTGAATGTGACCTTCTACAATTATTCGAATGTGTCATGTGTTTTCTGAATAATACAAATAAGAGCACGAAACAAGAATAAGCTGTTGATGTAGAGTGTTTTTAGTTTGGCAGACAGCACAGCACCCAAATGAAGTTTGCAAGCGTGCGTGTGCACGGGGCAGATGGGTGACGTGGGCAAGGACCTGACGGCCGGCACGGTGAGCGGCGCGGCGCAGCTGGTGGTGGGCCACCCGTTCGATACCATCAAGGTGAAGCTGCAGAGCCAGCCCACGCCGCCGCCTGCCCAGCCGCCCCGCTACGCCGGCGCCGCCGGCGCCGTCCGGCAGACGCGGGCGGCCGAGGGCCCCGCGGCCTGTACAAGGGCATGGGCGCTCCTCTCGCCACTGTGGCGGCCTTCAACGCCGTCCTCTTCACCGTCAGGGGACAGATGGAGGCCGTGCTGCGCTCCGAGCCAGGCGCGCCGCTCACCATCGGCCAGCAGGTCGTTGCCGGCGCTGGCGCGGGAGTCGCCGTCTCGTTCCTGGCGTGCCCCACCGAGCTCATCAAGTGCAGGTCAGTTGCTTGTCACACCCTGCTGCTGCGTGTTTCCTTCTGAACACCCTTTGCAGAGCACTGATCCTTGATCCCATGTTAGGTTGCAAGCCCAGAGCGTCTTGGCCACTGCTGCTCCTGCGGCCGCTGCCGCCGGCGCAGGAGGCGTCGCAGCGGCCACCATGACCGCGGCAGTGAAATACGGAGGCCCGATCGATGTGGCGAAGCAGGTGCTCAAATCGGAAGGCGGCACGCGCGGGCTGTTCAAGGGCCTCTTCCCGACGCTGGCGCGCGAGGTCCCCGGCAACGCCGTCATGTTCGGCGTGTACGAGGCGACCAAGCAGGTCCTCGCCGGCGGGCAGGACACGTCGCAGCTCGGCCGTGGGTCGCTGATCTTGGCGGGCGGGCTCGCCGGCGCCTCCTTCTGGGGCTCCGTGTACCCGACCGACGTCGTCAAGAGCGTGACCCAGGTGGACGACAACAAGAACCCCAAGTACTCGGGCTCCATGGACGCCTTCCGGAAGATCCTCGCCGCCGACGGCGTGAAGGGCCTGTACAAGGGGTTCGGCCCCGCCATGGCGCGCAGCGTGCCGGCCAACGGCGCGTCGGTGCCTGCTTCTTGGCGTACGAGTTGACCAGGTCCGCGCTAGGGAGATGATGTGGCGTCGCACGTCCTCGCATTGCTTATAGTTGGCCATCCAGCCCGAGGCACGACGGCTCGGCACGAAGCCCTTTTTTAGCCCGACACGAGCCCGGCCCGGCCCAGTGACATGCGGGCCCGGACTGGCCCGGCCCGAGGGAGCAGGCCGTGTCTGGCCCGTGGGCTGGCATGGCCGGGCTCGGTCTGCGTCAGCCGGCCCGGCCGGCCACCCCCTCCCCCTCCTCACTCCACTTCCCCTCCCCGCGGCGCGTGGCCCAGCTGGCCGGCCCACCGTCCCTCGAACCCTAAGTCCCCCACCCCTCCTCTCCGGCTCTCCCCCACGCCGCACCCGCACCGCACCCCCCTCAGTCCTCTCCCCCACGCCGTCGCGCACTCGCGCACCCGCACCCCTCCTCTCCCCCACGCGGCCACTCCGTCGCGCACCCGCACCCCTTCTCTCCCCCATGCCGTCGAGTACCCGCACCCCCCCTCCTCGCGCACAAGCTCGAGCTCCGCCCTGCCGGCCGCCAACGCCTCGAGCTCCTGCTTCCCCGTGGCTCGCCAAATCCCCTCCATCCCCTTCTCTTCTCGTGGGATCCAACGCCGAGCAACGCCATCGCCTCCCGCAGTCCCGCCTCAGCCGTCGTGGGAACAAGCGCGCTGGCCCCAAGCTCCGCCCCAACGCCAGATCCGGCCATGAGCTCCGCCCCGACGCCACCTCCACTCCAACCCGCCTCCGCCGACGGTGGCCACCTCCTCACCGCCACGCGCTGCTCCTCCTCCACATGCCTCCTCTGCGCGGATCCGGCCTCGTTCTCCGCGGATCCGGCCTCCTCATCGCTCATCCTCCGTGGATCCGGCCGCCTCATCGCTCATCCTCCGCGGATGGAGAGGTCGCGTCGTCCATGGCCTTCCGAAGCAACGACGGCAGCCTGGCGCCCTGGCCTCCTCCTCCTCCTCTCTCTCTGTCAGTGTAGTGGGCCTTGGGCCGGCCCGGCACGCTGGATTAGCCGTGCTTCTCGGGCCGGCCCGGCACGAAAAATGCCCCAGCAGGCCGTGCCTGGGCCGTCGGCCAGGCACGAAGCCAATGACGGCACGGCCCGCGGGGCACGGCGTGCCTGTCGGCCCGACCCCCATCGGGCCGAGCCAGCCCATTGTCGGGCCGGGCCAGGCCGGCCTGGCCCGTTGGACATCTATAGCTTTGCTTGAACGTGCCGTTCTGATTTTTCTTTCCCGCTTCTGCTGATTCATTCATGTCATGACGACAACTGGTCTGATGTCAACACTGTCATGACGACAACCATGACCATAGTCTGATGTCGACAGTGTAAGGCATGTTTAGGTCACCGGACTAAAGTTTAATCTGTCAATAGATAACAGGCTAAATATGGATTAATTAAAATTTCTTTTTTCTAATAAGTTCTACTCATCAGTTAATTAGTTTATATTAGACCGTAATTAGTTCATGTTTAGATCTTCTATTTGGCATCTAAACTATGGACTAAAGTTTAGTTTATTCTATCCAAACACACCTAATTACCTGTGAAATAAAATTTCTCTATGAGGGGCTTTGCGCTCGCTCGCTCGCTCGCTCTCTTTTGGCGCCATGGACATGAGATTCGTGAGGCTGATAATAAAGCTTGCCTTGAATTTGATGGATCTGATAAGAGCAAGTATAATAAACGACACTCTCAACAGCCTGAGCTATTTACTAAATCGTAGGTAACTCTTTGAATAATATTAACTTTTAGTACATAGCTCATAACATAAATAACTTCACGTGACGTCATTATATAATATTCGCCAGCTTATGCACACGAACCAATAAAATTATGTGAGAGGAATAAGTAGTTCATAGATGAGCTAATTATTACATAAGTGATAAGTTTACTATAGTCAGCAGCGGACTATATTATTAGTCTTGCTCTAAGACGCGGCGGCTGATGCCGCGCGCAGAGTTTGCGGGCGTCTGTCCTGCAACATCAACTGTTGTTAAATTTGTGAAGCTGACTTCATTGCTGTTGTCTCAGAAATTGTTGTCAATTTTAGGTTCCCGTCGTCATGGTATCTCAAATCTTTAGGAAACCCTCAGCCTATCTTAACACCAACGGGGTGGTGGCGCAGTTGGCTAGCGCGTAGGTCTCATAGCTAATTGATGAGTGATCCTGAGGTCGAGAGTTCGAGCCTCTCTCACCCCAATTTTTGCTCTCCTTAGCTTCAGGCAACTATTGACCTGAAGTTTTATGTTTTTTTTTGCTCCTGATTTGGTGATCACCCCATTTTTTTGTTCTCCGTCAGGCAACTCTTGACCCTGAAGTTTTATGTTTTTTTTGCACCTGACTTGATGTCATTTGGTGATCACTATCTGTTGGTCTTTCTCCGTCAGGCAACCAACTTTTGACCCTGAAGTTTTTTTTTTTATGTTGTTTGCCCCTGGCTTTATGTGATTTGGTGATCACTATCTGTTGGACTTTGAGAAAAAAATATTATTCTCATTAGTTGTGCTTGACATGATTGTATCCTGGCCAGCTGGGCTATGGGCTGAGGCGCATAGCAGAGGACACTCTTTTCTTGCTTTGATTATTAGGCCTTGTTTAGTTTTGGGTGTCACATCGAGGTGTTGTATGGGGTGTTTGATACTAATAAAAAAAACAAATTACAGAATCAGTCATTAGCACATGTGTTGCTGTAGCATTTTATTATCAAATCATGGACTAATTAGGCTTAAAAAATTTGTCTAGCAAAGTAGTCGCAATATATGCAATTAATTATTTTTAGTCTATATTTAATACTCTATGCATGTGTCTAAACATTCGATGGGATATGACGTAAACTTTTAGGGAAGAACTAAACATGACCTTATTAGTGCAAGTTGGGCAAGTTGATGAGGGGCGGTCATCGTCTGGAAGACAACACCATGTGAGAGTGCAACTGCCTCCCAGACTTTTAATTGGGGCAATTATGTATTTGACACTGGAACAAATCAGTCTTATTTATTTGGCACTAAAAATTTTAAACTTTCTTATTTGGCATCGAGTTAAAAATTTCTTCTGTAAATGGCATTACCGTCCATTTAGTGCATTCATCCGTCAGTTGAATGCGTTGACTCTGTCATATTTTTTCGGAAGTACCAAAATGCCCTTCTATACTTACTCGTGGCCGACGGCTCGTCTCCTGCCTAGGAGCTCGCGGAGGCGTGGCGGCCTCTCGCGCCGGACTCGGCAGATCGAGGCGCGGGGGACGCGCTGGGAGTTCCTCGCCCACCAGTGCTGGCCCCAGTTCGCAGCGCGGGGGGGGCGGTCTTGCCCGCCGACGCTAATGCCAGGCCGCGACGCGGGGGACGCGACGGGGTGAGCTCCGCGACGGCCGTTCATGCGCAGCATGCGTCTCGGTGAGGAGGAGGACGTCGTCGACCAGCTTCTCTATCCAGAGATGACGCGATGGCGCTAGAGCTCGGCGTGACGTCGGTCATGTGGCTCCGGGCGTGGGACGAGTGGCGGCTGTGCTGCACAAAACGCGGCCTCTCCTGCGCGCAGCAGCAGCACGAGGCTGAGCGGAGCTCACGGCCTGGGCGGCGTGCGGAAAGTATGCTGGTTTTGGTGGCCGGCTGGGTCCCCGCAGTGCCCACGCGCCATGAGTGAGAGTGACTCGATCATCCGCCCGATCTGACGGGCCCGACCACGGCGTACACGCGCGCGGGGCTTTGCGTCATCAACCGGTCAGGTACAGTGACCGCACCGACCGACCGCCCCGCGCTGGCGGCGCTCGCGCGACGACGGAGCCAGGGGAGGTTCTGTCCGTTCGACAGGGCCAAGGCTTCCTCCCTCGTAACAAGGCACAAGGCCACAGATGCGTTCGTTTCCTTGTGTCCGCGAGCATGTATGTACACCGGGCGCTGCGGCGCCACGTTGCGAGTGGGACACAGCTCGGATCACTTCGCGGCTCGGTGCCCGCCGTAGCCGCCGTACGTCCAATGGCGAGCAGCAGCAGCAGCACGTCGGGAGAGCAGCAGCAGCACGTCGGGCGAGCTCCGCAAAGACCGCGTGCTCCGCGCACCGCGTCCCCAGCCCGCGAGCTCCCCGGCTGCGTGCTCCGAGCGCCGCCAAGGCTGCGAACTCCGCGCGTTGCCCGGGCCGCGTGCTCCGCCGGCCACGTGCGCTCGGCGTCAAACGCCGGCCGAGCGATGCACGGTGTGCTCTGTTCTTGAGCCATGATGTTACGATGACGGCATATACTCTCGTTTTCTTTTAAAAAACTAAAAGATAAATACCTTGAAAATATAAGTTACGTATTTCAACCAGCAGCATCCCGAGCCATGCATCCTTAATTTGTGGCCGACATGAAAGGAATAGTGAGGGGCATAATCTATACCTGCTATTACCAATTTGAAATTTATTAATTATTTATTTGCAGTCTTCAATTATCAAAAATCCACATTTTAGTTCAAAGTATATTTATGATATTTATTATTTTCTTATTTGATAACCTATCTATTTTTTTTCTATTTAGCACCATGGACTTTTGCTACAATCAAGAGCATTTATGTCATTTTTGTCTGACATCGTTATCGGGTCTAAATACTTGGTTTTACGAAAAGAAAATTTCAACTCGATGCTAGATAAAGTACCAAATATGAAAGGTCGATTTGTTTTAGTGCCAAATACATAATTCTCTCCTTTTAATCCATCATCATCGCCAGCGCCAGCGACACACGGCAGCCACCAGTGTACGCCTCTGCTTCTGTCATGTCGTAGGGCAACATTTGCAGATTTCGCTGCATGCAAGATTGCGCAACTGCACAGTGAGCAGCATCTCCGAGAGTTTCCTATTTGTCTTTCTAATACTTGGTTTTTAGAAAATAAAAAATCTCTCTCCAACAGTTCCTAATCCATCCTCCTAATATTTAGACACTTGAAAAACTCGAGCCGTTCCTCGTAACTTTTACGCGGCTCTTGAGTCGGCTGGATCCTTCTCCCTACGCGCACTCGCAGGCTG